AAAAAAAAAAAAAAAAAAAAAAAAGCCCTTTGTTAATATCGCTACCAAAATCATCAGAAAAGTTTTAACTTTTAGGAAACTGCTGAGCTCACCATAGTGCATATACATTTTCTCCACTTTTGATTTTGGTTTGAAAGCCAAAAGCTATATTTCTCTCTTTTTTTTTTTGTTTTGATTTTGATTTTTTTTTTTTTTTTTTTTGGTACTGGGGATCAAATTCAGAACCTTGCAAAGCAGGCGGTAGAACCACTGATCTAAATCCCTGGCCCTAGATTTCTATCATTAGTAACAGATAATGTCAGGGTTTTTTTAAAATAGTAGGCTTGTTTCATTCATTATTAAGAAACTATCTGCCATATGTCTGAGTCTACATCATTAAGTAAAAATAATTATTTATGTAAAAATGGCACTCTGTGAAGAAATGTACAGCTAGTAGAGCTTGGGGCTAAGACCTATAAGAGCTTTTTCAAAAGACACCCATTTATCTCTCAAGTAGCAAGGGGCTTTGTGTTTCATCAAGCAAAACATGCAAAAGAAGTTCATACTCAAGGTGAAGATTTAATAAAATTAATCCTTGTATTGATTCATCCTAGGTGAAACTGGCAGTCTTTTTAACTGTGTGTGAAACTTTTCATTCACACTAACACAAAAGCAGTTTGCCCACCAGCACTTTCCTATTAGGAGCTGCAAATGTCAGCAAAGTGTAAAACAAAAAAGAAGATCATGTATCAATATTCTTATCAAAAATAATTTTCACCTGGTAGACCCTAGACAAGGGTGTCAGGCTCCCCCCAAAGTGCCAGACCACTGAGAATTTTGTCTGTGGACAAAAGGAATAGAGCTCCAATAGCATATTTGGCCATTGTCTCTGTTAATTTAGTTTAATTTTATTTCATTTTGTAATGCTGAGGATTGAACCCAGGGCCTCTCACCTGTTAGGCAAATGATCTACTACTGAGCCACACACCTCAGCCCCGCCAGCATCCTCTGTGAAGACCTCAGCACTAACTAGCCATAAAGAGGGAGCGCAGTGAAGCCAGAGGTCCCCTTAAACCTACTGGAAGGTGAGGGTTCCATAGTCTGAGGCATTGCCAGGCCAGCCCATGTGAACTAAACTTTCTCTCCAATTAGCTTAAAGCTTTCCTATTTTTTTTTTTCTTTTGTGACTTGAAACGTGTAATGCAACATGTACTGTTTGGGTTGACTGCCTTAAACAAAGCCCCGTAGACTTTCCATACCAACTGACCAGAACAACAATTGAGGTTTTCATTCTATGGCTTGGAGAGAAAAACAACTTGTATGCTGGTCCCAGCTTGTGACTATAACACCATTCCTCAAGCTCACTTCCATGGGTGAGAAAAATCTCTTTTTACATTTCTCCCATTTCCTACTGTCTCCCAAGACAAATTGTTAGTCTCAAAGGACACTTGTCATCCTCCACAAAGTATCCAATTCAAACATCGCATCCTTGTCTCCCCTGTCAAGTTACATTTTGTCTGTCAGCTGCCCTCTCCCCTCCCTTCTTCACTTCTTTTCCTTCTGGAGCTGGAAACCAGGCAGAGAGGGGATAACAGTTCTAAAAGCTCATTTCTGAATAAAGGATTGTCTGTGTGTAGTGGGTGCCCCCACCCCCTGCTGAGGATTGAATGCAGGGCTACACTTGCTAGCAAGCTCTGTACCGCGGAGCTGTTACCCCCAGTGCTGTGTGCGGTGGCTTCAGAGGTGTGCGTGGTGTGCTTTAGGAAAGGGAGGTAGGGCGAAGGGTGGAGCGGTCCTTTGCCAGATACTTCTAAAACTTCAATTTTTCTTTATTGTTCAATGTATAGGCTTTTACAGATAAATTCCTTGTACTGATCACGAGCTGGAGGCATGGTGAAGGGTACAGTGCTCCTTTTAGACAAGGACTAAGCTCTCACAATCTATTACACACAAGATAACCACAGTTTATTTATTGTGTATTTCAAAGTGGCTAAGAGAATACATTTTAAATGCTCTTAGCACAAAAAAAGATAAATATGTGAGCATCTGATGGATTTGTTAATTACCTTGATATAATAATTTCACAATGTGGAGATTGGCAAACATTAATTGTGCCACATAAATACATATAATTATCATTGGTCCATTAAAAATAAAAAATTTAAATAACAAAACTGTTGCAGCAACACATGAGGGTCTCTTCTGTGCCTTCAGTTCACCAGGAGCAAAGATCACTGAAAAGGTAAAGACTACATCTACTTTGTTCTGCCTTTCATTTATTAGGAAATTATTTCTGATATAGTTTATACAAGGTGCCACAAAGGCTCATTTTCTTTTTCCTAAAGGAAAACGTAGAGGAAATAAGATAAAGAATGACTAGGAATGTTGACTAGGTTCCAGGGAGTACTGTCAGCATTTTAATTGTCGAGAACTTTCCATTTCATTTGTGGCTATTTAAACTCAAGTGCCACTGTTGGCCAGGGCAGTGAGCTGTCCTTTCCTGATCGCCCCTTCAGGAGAGGCTGCCTGGCCCCATAACAGGTACAAGAAAACCTTGCCACTCTCTTCACACACCTTTTCAGGCTGCAAGAGGTGAGCAAAATTTTGCTTCTCAACCAACCAATACTGTGTATAAAATACCTAATCTAACTATTTAGCCAACCCTACACTTAGTGGGAACAAGCCTTTATCTGACATCTCATTTCTCTCATTTTCCTGTCTTCGTGCTTGCATCAGGTTTCTCATGATATTAAACAAATGCACAGGAGCCAAACAGTCAGTGTAGAATATTCGTAAGCCTTCAGTGTTCAGCATGCACAGAAGTCACCAGAATAACTCTTAGTTATTAAGAAAAAAAAATACCTAATCGTACATATTGATGTCCCTGAGCCACAGGATCCATTGGAATTGGCTAATTTTTGGCTTTGCAGAAAATGTAGCTACCTAGGACTGTCTTGCTACAGATTCAAGGCTTTAATCTTAAATCTTGTTGAGCCCCCCCGTCTCTCTCTCTCTCTCTAAATATATATATATACACACACACACACTGTAATTACAGGCTGCAGAATGAAAAGCATTAGAACTGTTTACAAAACATCTCATGAAGTTTTAAAATAATAGGTGTGTGTGTGTTTAAAACTCAGTAACATGTACAGCAGAGGTAAACAGTACACATTCTTTCTGCTTCTGATGCCCCAGGTCCCCTCCCAAATTTAGAGCATGGAACGGCTGATGGAGCGCTTTCCTCCTGCTGTGGGATGCTTATGCTTAACTAGCTGTGCTTATTGATCAGGTGCCAATTTATTGTTGCAGATCAAAATACGAATCTTCAGGTTTGTGGGGGCAGAATGGCTGTCGAGGCAGGCTGCTATGTAATTAATTATAGAACAGTCTCTATTCTCATAAAGAGGGTTCCTCATGACATTATCAGAGAAAGATTTTTTTTTTTTAATGAGCCCTTGGCTATCACTTCGAAATCCAAGAGAAAAGATTTCCACAGATTAGTGTTCCAAAGTGAGAGAGGCATTTTTCTAGCCTTTTCAAAAGTCTTTCTATGCAGCTTTGCAAAGATTTTGCAGCGCTCCCCTCTGGATTTCATTTTATTTGTTATTTTTTTGATGTGGAAGGGTGGCTGGCTGCCTTGGAGCCAGTCAGTCATCTTGCCCTGCAGGTTTAGATCTGCTGCCGGCAAAGTGAAACCCAGAGGCCAGCCGCATTCAGGGTCGGGACAGCGGGCAGGCTAGTGACCAACAGTCGCAGGGCCCCTGTGCGTTTTGGTGCAGGCGCAAGAGCTCAGGAAACAGCCTGGACAGAGGGGCCAGTCTCCAGCCTTTCCCCCTGGTGAAGGACTGGGTCACTTAGGAGCTTTTCGGGGCCTGGAAAAGGTTGTTCTCTCAGTCGCTCACTGTGAAGTCTTTGTCAGCAGAACAGACTCCAGTGGGAAACGATTCACATAATGCAGATAACAAAGGACAGCTTTCTGCTTAGTTCTGCCTGATAGGTACTCAGTATCTCGTGCAGGTGAGTTAACCTACCCAACTCGCCCTTGGCATACCCTTCCTGCACGAAGATATGCTGGTTTCCCAGACCAGGCTGGTCCTTCTTCGTCCAGCATTAGTTTTGCTGGGAATGTTTAAAGCACTATAAGAATGTGAAAGGGATGATGTGTTTATGCTGTTTTATAGCGCTGATTAGGAAATAGAGATATTATTTGTAATTTACTAGCAGTTCTGCATGTTTCCTTCTGTTCCTTTGGAGGACAGGAGAAAAAAAATACATAAAATATGTACATACCTGATATGCTGTTTCAAGAGACTACTGAGATAAAAAATCTGCTTCAAACCCCTTGACTGATGTTGCTTTTGTATTTTTTCCTCCCCCTTCTAGGACTCCCTCTGCAGCTGTTCTGAATACCTCCGAGTCTAGAAATTGATTATTCAACCAGGACATCTAATTCAAGGTATTAGCTCTTGTCAGAAAGCTTTCACGTTTGAGCTGTGTGCTGCAAATTATACTTTGGCATTGAATTGAAATAGGAAAAGTTGGACCGAGAATAAAGGAGAAAAGTGAATTTGCAAAATAATCAAGTGCTTAAAAAACTATGCAGCCCTTGTGAGGGTTTGCTGCTTCTGACTCATTTGCAACCCTCTCTGCCAGTGGATGTGTCAGTTCTGACTTATTTGCAGCCCTTTTTGTGCAACTGTGTTTGGGGTTTGGATTTCATTTTAGTTTTTTCCTCTCACTTTTTCTCTTGATTACCCAGACTGCCAGATCGGGAGACTGAGACATTTTGTCAGTTTTGCGACATTGGACCGAATACAATGAAGTATTCTTGCCGTGCTCTAGTGCTGGCTGTCCTGGGCACAGAACTGCTGGCGACCCTGTGTTCCACTGTGAGGTCTGCGAGGTTCAGAGGACGGACACAGCAAGAACGAAAAAATATCCGACCCAACATCATTCTTGTGCTCACCGATGACCAAGATGTGGAGCTGGGTGAGACACTGGTTCTTCGCTTGTTAGTCGCTTTTTTCAGATGATTTTCAGAGCCTCAGCCTTGTCAGGAACCCACGATGGGCACTTGGGGGTTGGCCCTTCATTGTAGTACTGTCAACAACAGTCCTAGTGTATGAGCGACATTGTACAGTCAGAAGGCATTGGTGTGTGTTCCGGCAATACTTCTCTGGGTTTAGACTTTCAAAATAGTCGGAGGAGGAGCCCAGCAGAGAACAAGAAAGGAGGATGAGAAAAAGCCTAAAGACCATAGAGTCAAGGAGGTGGATATGAACCTTAGAAACTCTGGGCTGAGAAGTTTATGAAACACTAGCCCAAAGTTGCTTCGAATGACATTCTGTGCAATTCATATGAAAGTAGATTTTAATGACTATTATTTGTAGAAAGAATCACTTGTTCACAGTTACAAAAATGTGAAGTAGTTGAAAGCTACAGTGTTCCACATATACTTGGTAGTTACTCACATACCATTACCTTAGGGTTAATACTTTTGGAATCAGCTCACCCGGGGTAATTCTAGCACACTCAGAAAATATACCAAAATCTAGTGTTTCTAACTTACCTTCTCATTGGGTTTCTCTTCTTCTCAGCTCTTCATCCACCTCCTCCTCTTTCTTTCTTTTTTTTTATACTGAGGTTTGAGCCCACGCTAGGCAAGCACTCTAACCCTGAGCAATATCCTCACCCTTTTTATTTTACTTTGATGCAAAGTCTCATGAAGTTGTCCAGGCTGACCTCAGGCAGCCTTCTGAGTGGCTGGGATTACTGGCACACACCACCAAAGCATGCTTCTTCCTCTCCTTTCTCTGTGCTCCACCCTAGGCTCTTGGCCAGAAGCCTGTGGCCAGGTTCTCCCAGTGCACCCTAAGACAGACAGACTCGCCCCACGCTGTCATTTCCGTTCGTGGACCCCTCTTCCTCGCTCTCAGGCATCACTCAGAGATCTTCTCCATCTCATTCAACTCGAACATGGGGAGGACCTTTCAGCAAAGAACACTGGGCTTCTTTGCTCAGCTCCTATGCTAGGTTCTTGATGATGAAACCTTCCAGGCGGAACTTGATCTGCATGCCAAGAAGCTTTGATTTCAAGTCTGAAACCAAAGCATGGAATTAGAGCAAAGTTAACTCCTGGAGTTGGGATGAAAGCAAATGCACAGAAAGTTAGCAGGAGACATAACCATTGAAGTTGATTCACAGAGTCTGCTCTCTCTATTCAGGTTTTTAAAAAAGGCATTGGGCCAGGGATTTAGCTCAATGGTGCCACCACCTGCCTTGCAAGCACAAGGTCCCAAGTTCCATCCCCAGTACCAAAAAAAAAAAAAAAAAA